TTTTGTGCGCCCCCCGCTCGCTCGACCGTTTTCCACACCTCTTTGCCCAAACTCTTCGAAACATGATGAACACTGAATCTGGAAATAAACTGGCGACGGGTTTCTCGTTTTTGTATACTTTTGGGGTCAATTGGTAGGCTTATTGCTGAACAAAGTTTCGGTTTTGTCATAAGGGCTTCGTCAGGCCATGAGACTAGGTGACGAGTTTGGTCGAGTTTCAGTGTGGAAGAAGAAGCAATCAGCTAAGTCAAGCTTAATCTGTGTTGGGTGTCGATCAAGGGATTCTGTGTTATGATGGGTCATCAATTTTTAAGACTGATATGGTAACCCACATGCATTTGTGTCTAGCTTAGGGTCTAGTTCTTCCGAATCAATTCACGTGAAGATGCTCTTGAACCTTTGTTTGCACTTTTTGTCCGTCTGCGTAGTTGTGTATCATTCATAAATAACCGTTTCTGGTGACGGATTTTTCACTTCATTTATTATTCAGCTGGGTTGAAAGTTTTTCGAGATAGTCATCGCAACGGTCATGTGGAGTGAATTGGACTGTTGGCAGCCCGAGGCTGTATCACGCATTTTTTGGTAATGATTTCCGGGTAAAGTTGGCTTGTTCCCATGTAGGAGTGAGCTACTGACCTCAGTGACATTCGTCCCACAAGAAATCTCACTGTTTATTTGCTCCAAGTTGTCTCAATTAAGGGCAACATCTAATGTTTTCCTAAAACCGTCAGGGGGTATAAAACAATCAGTGTTAAATTCACTGTACTAGAAAGCGTTTCCAGTCTATGTCAGTCCGTCGATCAAATAGGATACGCGTGAGTACGTTCCAGAAACTAATTTTTCGGATCCAGGACAACCATAACAGGAAGAAAAATACCTTGGAGGTGATTAGGCCTACAATTTTGTAAATAAAACTCAGATCTCCTACTGTTACCCAAACTTATGGAGGGAAATTGCTGTCATACTGAAATGTGAGGCGATGGGAGAAGCCTTCGCTCTAGGACATGCTGTTGGATGCGGTATTTTTTCAGGAAGTAGTCAGCCGCATTGCGGTGATCTACTCAAATGTCTGGCAGATCAAATTCGTAACAAATTCATTCATGAGGTCATCTTTTTGGTAAGTATATTTACAGATGCATTCTACTAAATGTAAAAACCAAACCCGCAATGGTGAGCAACGGGCTAGCTTAACGAACAGACAAACATCGCGTTACTTTCCCGGACAGACTTCACAAATTCACATATGTCCTGAAAGCTGGCTCAAGTAAGCTGATGACGTAAAGCAGAAATTTGAAAAACCCTAAGTTTACACAATCAAACCCGCCGATTTTCAACAAAAACTCTTCCTGCACTTGGGACACCAGAATTTTTCAAGTAATCACGCACACAAAGACCAGGAAAGCGTGAAGACTAGCATAATCCACTCACACACACTTGACCACCTTCGTGATATCTCTCCTGGACAAACCAGTCAACCAACCAGTTTATGCCAGCTGAATCCAATAGATAGTCAAGGCGAACTCCCAAACATTGAGTCTTGGAGACGGTTTAAGCGGCTGAGTAGGACGGACGGCTGAGTTTCACCATCCTTGCGCAGGCATTCAGGGATTGTCCGCAGAGTCGGGCTAGTTAGACCACGGGAACACAATCATTCATGTACACACAGGGCCGTAAAAGGTTACAGGGATGCAACCCAAATCCATTTTGTTGCGCTAAGTAGTTGCTGTGTTGTGCAGGCCCACAAGCTAACTGACGAATTCCCCATCATCTTGTCACTCGAATGACTTGAAGATTGTGTTTGCGACGTAACTGGATTTTCACCCTTTCTTAGAAACGCACAAAATGTCTCCAACAACGTATCACAAAACTTACTACTAACTCCAGCGTTTAATTTTGGTCGGTGTAATGTTCGATACGGCAGAATTTAAAACGAGTAACAGGCACTTCGCTGCTCGTGAACAGATATCTTGTGCCTTTCCTGTGATGTGAGGTTTGGAGTACCGATTTCCAGTGTGGTCGTTCGCTAACAAAGGAATTCCTGGAGCCAAGTGTGCTGATAAACCTAAACCTGTCTGTTTCATCTCATCGTTCCGAAAGCCCGTAAACGATGTGATAAAAAGCCCCCAAAGCCTAAAAATTTACTACGAAAGCCTTAGCAAGAGAGATGAAACCTATTCATATAGTAATGGTAAACTCAAGGAAGTGCGAGGAATCTCGTGATGATCCGAACGCTTTCGGCTGACGACCCCGTCAGTTGTTTCTACAAATGTTCTGGCGCAACTACTGATGCAAATCTCTGTCCCATAGCATGCCCCATCAGCCCACTGATGATGTCAACTTGGTTGGAGATGAAACGCTTGCTCAGCACAGCGAACAAACGAGCAACCATCCACGCAACGTGGGTTACCGGAATCCACTTAGTTGCGATTAGCAGCTAAAATTGGTAGCTGAAATTGGATCCGCGTCACTTTCAGTGGTTCAACAACCTGAAACAAACAAACTGGCTATCTCAATTTTATAGCATTATGCATGGTTTGTTTCACCCAGTTAGAAAACTGACTCGTTTTGCAGTAATTACAAACGATGTTTATCTTGATCGAGCATATGGTGTACCCCGACGTCTTCCCTGATTAGGATGAACCAAGTAAGAACTTCGTGAACGAGGAATTCAGCTGGATTCCAGGTGAATCTTCTGTCAAGACTAAACTGGTAAACAAATGAGTTCATACGCCAATTCGCAATCAGGTTTTGAAATTTTCACACTCAGCACAGGATATCACGTGTGTGGATAGTAAAGTGTGTTTGTGATTTGGATGTTTCGCTTCTCATAACGGAGATGATAACTTCCGGGCCCTTGTCTTGGAATCTTCTGTGCAGTCGGTGCAGGGTAGAACTGGTTGGTGTTGAAGTGACACCCAAAGGCCAACTTTACCGTGAACAGGGCCATGTGGTATGTCCTAACCACCTCCAAACCAAGAGGCATTCAGCCTAGGGCATCATTTATGTGCAAGCTATTTGTGACTGTTTAGTATTCTTCACATTTTACGTAACGTCGATACCCAAGTCGTTGATTCATTTTCCTTATAATTATCTGAGACCAGTACAGTTTCCACGACAGCGAAATACACACATCTGCATACCGATTTGGTTTTGAGAGGAGACTAACCTGTAACTTTCCGGGTATCTTGTTTTTCGAGTTCTTAATCGACCGAATGCGTTACAATTTCAGTTGATGAGATATCGGTATGCATTCTATAGACGTTTTCCAATGCCCATATGATTTCTGAAATGCATCCGAGCAAACTGTCAACTTCACTAAGTAGTGACGTGGAGGAGGTTGATCAGGTCGACAATTTCGCTGATTACCAGTGACGAACGACTCCCAATAACGTTCGAAGCCCACTGCCTTGCATCGCCTTGAGTTTATTGAGTGTAAACTCGGGTAATCTCTGTTAAAATTATTGCCCCAAACTGAATGAACTGAGCAATACCCGATGGTCATCACTTGATACGGTGACTAATAGTGAAAGATTCTGGCGATCCATGTGACCAAATTTTGTGAGTTCCTGGGTGGATCATGAAGAGGCGATACATATTGACCTAGTGCGAGTGAATCACACTATTGGGTGGCCAGTCATCGACAAACGGTTAATTACTCAAACTACTAGACAGGAGATCAGTGATTCCAGACTCCATGGCGCTTTGTGAGGTACACACTGCTTTACAACAGGTCTCCAATTCATTTGCAACACAAAATCCTTAAAATTTCGCAAATCTGACACCAGTGTTTTTGTTTTGCGTGCGGAATAGCCACTCGGTTGCATAGCGCTACTTCATAACCTGGCTAGAGAGAGGTAAACTTGTCAGGATGACAACTTGAATCACTGCGCAGCTTACAACGCCCAACAAGAACAAAGCAATAGTCCAGTCGTTCTCAGCTTTTCAGCATAGATCAGCTCCACTCATCTGTGTTTGCATCGTGGCTTGTTGACAGTGAATCCAATGGGTGTAATTTCGTGCGGGCAAAGTTTTTGAAGGCAAATTTGCTTCCTGACACACCAGTTCAAACCAGTTTGTATGAGTAACAGTATACAGGCATCCTAGACGTTTTCGCTGTCCGTGCTGCTCCCAACATTATGACCGTACACTTTAGGCATGCCATGACTACAACCGCCGGGGGTCCCAGACTAAATGTCCTCCAACCAATCGCTCCCACATAAACATAGATCTCGCCGAGGAACTCTGATCCGAATTGGATTGTTTCGATTTTTGCCCGAATATTTCGAATATGCAAGTTGCGACAAACTTTTGTCTCGCTGATTAAGCTAAATTTTATTATTTTGTGTTGGTTGTACCTGCTATTTTCCCGCTGGTTTGTGTTTCTAGTTAAACCCTGCCCAAGTGCTTTCCTCAAAAAATCAAACTCACTGTCTTTATCAATTCTTGCTTGTGCTTGTGATATCCACATTTGCGGTCAGTTTTTTCCAAATTTTGTCTGTATCTGACCATGTTGTTTCCACCAATCGTTTATACATGCTACTTCTCACGTCAAGTTTCCATAACTAACACCAAATGGATTCTACATGAGAATCCCAGTAGAATGTTTTGGGCACGAATAAATCGAAACGTTTGACTGCAGAATACAATTCTTCTAGGTCTGACTCCAGACAACCGTTAGTCAGGCCACTACTAATCAAGCGCTGTGTACGCGACCCCATCCTGGCAGGGTCTCCACTGACCAGTGGCGAATAACAAACACTCGGTTGGAAATATATGCTCACTCCCCACCATAATGACGTGTAGACACAGAGGCGACTCCGTACCTATTACACCCGGAAATAATGCACGCAGTCCTTCGGACACGTCCGAATTTCTCTCTAGAATTACCTGAAGAAAACAAATCGACGCCATTAAAAATAGTGTTGTAACATGAAGCACAATCTATACAATATCAAAAGTGGCTGCAGACAACTTTTGTGCATTGTTTATTTCTAAGGTCACTTCTCCCTTTAAACTGTTGCGCATACAATATAGTCCGCATATGAAAAACAATTTTCTCGCCGTCATTGCCAGTATAACCCTGGATAATAAGTCTACAGACTACTCGCGTATGCTCATCAAATTTTTGGAATTCGATTAGATAACTGGATCCTGTGTATCCACATTGCGAAAAGTCGGCTGAAAGGAAACTTTGAAGGCGTGGCTCATATCCTGGGGGCAGTTTTATTGAAACCGTGTGCAAAGTACGAACGAAATAGAGACGGGGTTTTCCAGCGAACTATACGCCATTTGTAGATTTCACTTATGATATTTTCAAGTGCCGTCGTAGTTACCAAATAAAGAGAACGCGTTCAGATTGGAGGCATTCGCCTCTGCCAGCGTAAAGTACATCCGAAAGTGATGAATACTGCCGGGTGAGTTACTCCGGTGGCGTGGACTTGGTAGTGCGTAATTCAACTGAAATGTATGATATCAGTGAAGAAGCACTAATTCTGCGCAGTCCATGTAGCCCAATGTAATTTTTTCTGGGTTCTCTGAGCACTATTATGTGTTATTTAAGCGCGATACCTATCGATTATTGTGGACAGCTTGATTTATGCATTAAGGTTGGACCAACCTGTTTCACCAGTTAACGAAGACATACAATGATTGACTAGAATTTTCTCGCCATTCGGCGATAAACTGGTCCAAATTAATGCATACCAAGCTCACCAGAATAAGGTATTGTTCTTAACAATCATGCGAGTAAGGGAATTGCACCCCGGGTGCAGTCTATGAATGGTGGAGTGATATTTATCTTTCAAGGAATGGACCTATTTGCGACAAAACTGTTCACTCCTAGCACAACCTAAAGTGCATGTTACATTTCGGCAACCAATGATAAGTCATCTCTTTGTTTGTATGAACCCGATTAACTGTAACGAAAATGCTCTGACAGAGGTTCTCGGACATCAGACTCAATCAGCACAATACTGAAGGACCAGCTTAGTCGGAGCTGTAGATATATCAAAGTATTTCCTGATCACTCGCCCAGGTGATGTTTTTGCACGGAAACCAAGCCAAAGGATGTGCGTATATTGGGCTGGTTTAGTGACAAACCAAGAAGTGAGAGATTCGCAAACCAGATTCCCAGACTAGTGATGATCATGCTTTTATTGGTAGTTCCTGGAGAAGCGGGGAGTAAAAAATGTAAACGAGAACAAGCCAAAATGAAAGAAAATTAGGTGCTACCCGCGACCCGATGCCAAGTAAAGCGTCGCATTGCACAGTTTTACAGCATGCGATAACTTCTGCACCCATCTGCGTCTTCTTGTATCCTGACGTACATACTGTGGAAGAGACGTCACTCGCTGCAGTGGTGCAATTGGCGGTGATGTCGCTGGGTGTTCCACTGCCAGTGAAAGTGGAACTCATCTAAAAATGGATCAAGGTGACGGTTATTTCACGTAGATGTTTAAGGCTGTACCAGACAGCAACAAGCAAAATTTCTCGATGATGTTGAACGTTGCTAATAATGCTTCTGAAGGTCACAAACGCGCCACGAGCTAAAGCACTAAAAATAGCAGGTGTTCCGCAAACGTACCTTTCGCTTAATTCGATCATATGAACATCAGCGTAAATGTCAAAAAACTATTTACACGCATGTAAGTCGGTGCTGAGAAACGAAGTATTACTCAAATTTTTGAATCATTCATAACATGAAAAGGCAGGGGACTTCTTCGATTACCTCCGAAAGTTGCAAAACTCGGTCAGGGAACAAGCGTAAAGAAGAAACCTCCAAGCAAAAAAATTCGACATTGATCGCTTCAGTTTGAAATAAATTGCCGTCACTACAAGGTATAGAAATACGTCAAGGCTGGAGTGTGTGATAACTTTTCTCAGTACATATTTCCCCAAAAAAAGCGTTTTGATGGACTTTACGACGATGCGCCGATTATTCGAGAATCAAGTTGATTAAAAATATGCAGGCGTGTACTCACCTTACACGCCCTAAAAGTCGATCCAGATTTTGCTGTTTTCTCATCATTCGGAAGCTGACAGTTCATGCAAGTATAGCAGGTGAAAGCTGTCGTTTGTGCAGAGCCACACCCTTAATACGTAAGAAGAATATAAACACGTAAATTAAAAATAAGGTGAAAATATCTACTGGCGCAAACTATTGTCTGAACACTCAATTCAGCTTACTCAGGCAAAGGCAGATGAACACCAGTGCGGCAAAAGGCGTCCTCATTTGGATTCGGTTGAACTAGTTGAACTGGTCAGTGCATGTTCGAAGCTCGCGAGGCCTTTTGTACTCTTCAGCCACCAATCATTCAAACAGCACGTGATCTGTTCACATTTGGGCGGGCGGTTGCGTTCTAGTCGCGATTGTATTATGACGCACTACCCAATAAAGTACCAACGTGTCTAACCAATGCAGACAGACATTTCGGTCGTGGTGGACCTTGTTGTGAGCACACAGCTTTATCATGTTCACTCTTGAGTAGAACAGATATGTACCTGATTTAAATATCAATATGATGACAAGGTCACGTAAAAAACTGAATGACTCTGAATTGTGGTCCATTCCGCGTGGGGGGCGGGGCACCAGGTGACCTATGGCTGATTTTATGTTTGCCCATAGGTGCGCCAGGTAGGAGCACAGCCTCGATTCGAGCTTGACAGCTGTATCATGCGGACATACCTAATGTAAAATGGAGAATCGGTCCAATAAGAGTTCCCCTGTCTTTAGTGGGAATTTTACCCTGCAGGTGAACCAAACTATCCCGAAGTATCTAGAAGCACGGCAAACCAGTTTCATGCTTGTTGGGAATAATCTGCAGGGCGCATGTCACAGAATTCCATGAGGTCTCGAACGCGAAACCTACCCGCTAGTCATTCAAACATCTAATCGTTCCCCACATACAGCTGCTCGTGGAATTGAATAGATTCCGGAATCACAAGCAATTACTACTTGATGCAATAATTAAAGGGAAACTTTTTAACAAGCACCTTCACACGTGGTCACGTGGTGTGAATTACTTGATTGAATTAGGAGTTGCGCGATATTCTGTCTGAGTGTGAGTGAATCACTTTGCTGATTGGCTGGTCGTGGCCAAAAGTTTAAGTTTTCAGATTACTGGCCGGAAATCGCTGGTTTGACTCTGCATGGGCTTTTGTGAGATAAGCACTGCTGTACAATAGTTTCAGTCGTTCTCGGCTTTTCAACATAGATCGGTTTCACTCAGCTGTCTCTTACTTCATGGTCTATTGACAATTAATCCCATGGGATCTGATTTCTTCAGTGTTTGTTTTGTATTTATTTCAAGAAAGCGAGTTAGGTGTTTTGAAGGCAAATTTATTTTCTGATTCATCAGTTCCAACACATTGGCATGAGCATCATTATTGGAGTATCCTCAATATTTTGCCAAAACTTGCTTCTTCTTCTTATATTTAAATTTCCCATGAGTTTTCCCAAATTTGTACATGCTCACGCCAGATTTCCATAAATGATTCTAAGAAGGGTTTTGTATGAGGATCACAGCTTAGAGTTTTGCACACGGATAAAACTGTGCGTGAGGGCGGCGAACCTTGGTTTTGTCAGCGCTTTGTCTTAAAATACTTGCTCAGGAACGTGGTGTGTGGAAACAGTTGCGACTAGCGAAACGTAAATGAAAACATATCCGAGTGTCTGGGAGATCAAGAAGGCATATGTCTTCAAATTCAGGCACCCCGTTTACATCGCTCTAACTGTAACTCAAAACAAACGCTTAATCAGATGCACAGAGGAAATATTTTACACGTATCTATCGATGACCAATTGAATAGAACCATATGATTTGGCTCCACGATGGTATCGTACCGTGCTTCCACGTAGACGTTGGAAATAGGTTTGTCTAATACTTTCCTTTCAGCAGTGCATAGTTAAAAACAACAGACCGGGCCCAAAAAGCTCGGGAAAAACTGAAAATTATTCAGAGCTATCGATACAACTTTAGTCCAAGAATTGCCTTGCATTTACAAAAGTACTATATCTCCCACATGACTACCCAGCCAGTACTTAAAGTAGTGTTCCGCTGCCCGCTTAGAGAATTCGGTCTATCCTGCCGATGTACGCATAAGCTGAGCTGTTTATATACAGCAGATTGGATAATTCTACTTCTGGCTAAGAGAGACTTCTTGAGTGGAAGAGTGACGTGTAGGACCAGTTTGCCCGATTGTGAGACGCTTGAACTTTTATCCGGTGTATACAGGTCAATGCTACAGTGCCCATCTTAATAAGTAACCTACCAAAATTTATCGCGGGTCTAGAGGCCGGACCCAATATTCGCATACGGTGTTCTCACCAGCATCCACTGTAAATTAGACTAGAAACTTTTACCTGAGAGAACTGTCGCTGTTCGAACATGTGTGACGAAATGATTTCCAACTTTCCGTGGCTAATGTAAGTGCACTTCGCGTCCTTTCTTGGCAAGGCACTGTGAACAAACTATCCCCAGTTATCTCAGGTTCTTTGCTTATTTTTTGTTCACTTTTACCAAAGTTCAAGGACTGGGATTTTGTACATGCGGGCTCGAGATGTTGAAGTAGCCTTGCAGCCTCCTCTTCACTTTTTCCGAATTTATTACCATTCCACGCCATGTTCTGAGCTGGTCGTAAGTTCTCAACTCTGCGACAGGCAAGATCACCTTTCATCCTTGAAGGTCGTATCTGGTCACTCTGTTTTATCTCCCACTCACCCAACTCCGAAGAATTGTTCAAGACTAAGAAACAAACGAGATCTTACTTCGCAAATCCCTTGAACTCCAACTATCCCGTTGCCTGGTTAACGTATCATGATAACTTGAAGTATTAGGATACGACTGCTGGTGCAATGGGCTATATACAACGATTAATATATGTGTCCCACCGCTTACCCAACACCCTACGAGCTCCAATGTAAATTCACACCCTGAAACTTCATCTTTGGGCAAATAATACTGTTTTCAAATTGACCTTGCTCACAATGAATTGTCTTGATAGTGGAGTTGATCAAGTGTAATTCGCAGACTGATGAGCAACGAATAGAACTGATTACATAAAATGTATTCCGTGAATGTCGAAATTCCGAAATATCCAGACCGGGCAGCCTGAGATCAAGTAGCCAGTAAAACAAAGAATACTGTAACTTTTGGAAACGGGATTAGGTACCTGGGTCACAAACTATTACCTCTGGATGCATAACTGGTAATTAACGACTGCAGCGAATTCGATCGCGAAATGTAAAATGCATGGAAGTGGAATTTTACAGGTTCACCATAGGTTTTAGTGCTGTGGTGCTCGTTGTTCGAATTTATGAGTGATTAGCATTTGACTTTAGCCTTCAAACCTTGAGCGTTCGGGGACCGGGGTAACGCCATGTTATCCTGCAAACCGACGGTGGACCCTTGATGTGTCCAAGACAAACCAGGTCTGAATTCAAAACAATGGTAACAGATGTGTCAGAAATATCATGGAATGTTTTTATGTCAACAGCCGTGTGAAATACTATTAAACACAACCTGTTTACGTCTTGTTACCTGGAGCGCAATTCTAAAACTTGTCACAATCTCAGGTGCATTGGTATGTAATGCGCACCAACCGTTGGCTGGAAGGAATCGCTCAGTTACCAGAGACTGTCAGTAAACATGCCATATGTGAAACGTCCTTTAAACTGCAAGCAAGCAAACAGTCAGTGAAGAACCAAGGATAAAAAGAGAAGACTAACATACCTCTTCAAACATCCTTTTCAGTTAGTCACGAAAGGCTCCAGAGCAAGCTTTTCAGGGTCNGGAAAGAATTATCTGGGCCAAATACCGTTCGTCCAGTTTAGCATAACGGATGGCGGGGACGATTGGGCTGACGGTGCAGAACAATGGGATCTGTCCGAACCTGTATGTTAGCTTCTGTCTTATTACTAATATACAGCTCAGCAGACACGCGAAATCTCTCTTCCGCATATGCTGAATAACGTTACTTTTGAATAATTTTGCGCTACTGGCACGCCAGTAAGATAGTTCAAGTGTGTGAACCGATAAACAGTGCGAGAAATCGTTCGGCAGTCCATTTTTCATTAACCCCTCAACAAGTTCAAAAGACACTGATTAATATTTACGGCCTAAAAATACCCGATGCATTGACTGGCGTCAAATATGGCCCTTAACACGACAGCACATGGCGAATTGTGGCAGACTGTAGTTGTGAAAGCTAAAAGGTTTTGCAGGTATTTTGATTTTACTTCTGCTCAGTGGGAAGTGTTGTTCTCCTCTGTCAGACTGGCGTTCGTCCTACCGCTAGGCGCTTTTTTTTAACTCGTAAAGATGTTTTAGCATAAGGAGACTATTTATACAATGCCTTCGTCTTCATACCAAAATGCCGCAGTTATATTACTCTCGTAATATTCCGCTAGCCGTGCCCCAGGTAAAAAGCCCCTCATTCCAGGAATTCCGTCTTCTAACTGATTGTTTGACCAAACTGGCATTTGCTTTTTAAAAGATTTTTTAACCAACTGTGCGGCCGCAGCGTTCCAATCCGCTCAGTGGAAGACCTGTTCGCTGAAGCCTCAATGAAAACCGTAGTAGTTTATAATTTCATCCTCGTGAATTACTTCCAAAAAGACATGGTAAGAGAGATATGATCCAAGTACTTGGAATGTGGGTTCGGACTGATGAGTCTTGTGTCAGGTTCTCTACTGTCTTTACGATGAATTCCAAACCAAGTGGATCCATTACTACTTCTTACCCCCGTACGTAGTCTAAACTTGTAGGCGAATTGAACGTTATCAAATAATTGTGGGGCAGTTTATCCTCATCTTTCCACGGATAAATACACTCATTTACGTAAGGGTCCCGTCAATGTGGATACAGTACTTTCGCTAAACACATTCCCGCTGTATTCGGCTACACCATTTACATCAAAGACATTGTAAAGCGAATAAAGCAAGTCTATGTCTGCGTTAAAATCACAGATGACTGGATAGTTCTTTGTCCCCACCACTCCACCACAGAAACCCATCCTTTCTTATTCTGAAACCAAGCCGCAACAAATGTGCGCGATTCCGGTCGCACGGTCAGGTTATAGGGGCATCAACAAATTCCCTCTAAGCTCCAG